TTGTTGTTACAGAGATTAAGTCAAGATGCTTTACGAGCATTAAATGACTGGAACTGGCTACACGTTACTGGAGCAAATGTCCCGGTGCCGCCTTGGGAAGTCATCCTCCCAGGCCCACATTCCACCTGAGTCATTGGCCAAGATAAGGACAAATTCCCACCCTGGTGAGCTTAAACATTAAACCCAGGCCAGGGAGCGCGCTGGGGCCAGGCAGTGCCTGTCCCTTGTCCCCTCCCTGGGGCAGTGCTGGGTGCTGCAGATTCAGGAGGGCAAGTTTCACCCTCCCGGCCGCTTTACACGCTGCAGGGGCCCTTTTTGCTCATCTGCACTGACATCTCGGGCAGTGACCACGTCTGTCATACTTTTACAAGTATGTCTTTTTGAAAAGTAAGAGGTTTTTGCAGCTTGTTTTCTAATTACTTCCAGTCTGTATAATAACCTGGATATAAGGATGATTAACTCGCTTGGAGACAGAAGGATTCTGCTGACAGTTTTGAACTGGAGCAGTAGCTAACTGAGTACAAATATCACAACAGCTTTGTTTCTTCAGCCTCCTAAGGGTTGATTTTAGCAGGCAGTTGCACTGAGCCTTTCAGTCACTAATGACAAGCTGCTCCTCTTCTGTGGTTCAAGGTCCTCATCTTCGACCACGCGCAGTTGCTGCAGGTTAAGAGTTTGCACTGTCAAGGCACTCAGTGCACAGTAGTGCCCAGAGAGGCCAGGGTTAAAGAGGAACAAGGCTGAGGTTGCTAGTGCAGTGTCTTTAAAAGCACCGTCACCGCCTGCCAGAGAGGCTGTCGCCTCTGCAAGCAGTGCCCAGACTTCGCTGTGGTCAGAAAACGCAACATTTGACCTAGTTCTTCTAAAAATCCACCCTGAAATTGCTTCAATACTGTTTAATCAGTTAAATATCACTTCTGCTGGCAGACACAAGCAGCTCTGCAGTAGCAAATGAGTCCCCAAGCAAAGGAGGAAGCTCGAGGGATAGAATTTATTCGGGTTTCAGATTTCTAAGATGTTTTATGTAGGAAAACCTTAATGCTGTTAATTTAAGAAGCTCTGTATATAGTTTGCAGTGTGAGGAAGAGGCGCAGATCCTCGGTGCTCATCCCAGCGCTGGTGCTTGGTGACCCAGCAGCTCCACAGCTGCCCCATGCACACGGATGGAGCGGGGACAGCAGGAGCCCTCGCAGGGTCCCGTTGGAAGGGGGCTGCTCCTTGGAGCCGGAGGCGGCCCAAGGCCACGTCCCCGTGGGCAGAGCAGCGGACAGAGCCACCAGGGCAGGCACTAACCCCTCTCTCTCTGTTCCTGCAGGGCCATCATGGATAAGAAGCTGGCTGCCTGCGTCAACATCCTGCCCAAGAGCTCGACCCTGTGAGTTGTGCTCAATATTCCCCCCAAGGAGGAACAGGCCGGGCTGCCCACGCGCCCGGGCTCGGCCTTTCCAGGCAGCTGCTGGTGCTGCTGGGGATAACAGAGATGATCCTCAGCCTCACCAAGTGCCCTGAGCTCATTACACGAGTGCAGATGCTCTGTCTGCCGTCAGGACCGTTTGTTTATCGGTTCCTTATGGACGGAGATCTAGCAAAGAGCAAACTGATTTACAGCCTTGGGGATAAGGCTCCTGTTTTTAGAGGACTTAAACATAAGCTCAGATAGGGACCCAAAAAAGCATTTGCAATACTAAGGAGCACTGTTTGTAGCAAAGGGCAGTATCTTTGACCTTGAAATAAGAACAGCCACGACTTACCTTCGGCCATCCGTGCAAAGGGACTGGATTAATTTAGGGGGAAGGAAGTTTCCAAACTTTAACATTACCCAGAAATATTTGGGCATCCTTCCCAGCACAGAAACGCACTCCAGCCTGGCCTCATTGGGAGAACTGAGCGCTCGCAGGTCCCTGTGTGGCCGCCTCATAGTCCTGCGGAGGCTGCTGACCCAGGGCTCCCTCCGCAGCATCCCCTCCGCTGCCTCCTGCTTCCCAGGAGCATCCCGGCTGGAGCCGAGTGCCTGGAGCCCAGGCTGCTCCTGCTCCCGCTGTCCCTCAGGCTGCCGGCCCGGGGGACGCGGTGACGCCGCCACGCGACTCCTCGTGCCACCAACCAGCACCCACATGAAATCACCATGGCTTTGTGACAAAGACCAGTGTTTCAGACGGTCAGGGCTGGCTCGCAAGAAGTAAATCCCCGTGCCTCCCACCTGTGCCCAGCTGCTGTCCCTGCAGATGCCCAGCAGCTCCCCTTGCCTTCGTCCCTGCCATTCCCTGCAGGTCCCTCACGCCTGGCATGGCCAAGAAGGCTCTGGTCTGTAATGCATGCTGATGTTAGGCAAAATGTTGAATATTGTAATTATATTTGTTGCTACTGGTTTTTTTTCTTTTAAATCTAGGTATTTTTGGAAAGGTGAAATAGAAGAATCCACAGAGATATTGCTAGTAAGTGTCCAGCACTGCATTCCATCGCATTTCTGTGGTCAGTGGA